ATTTCAAAAGAGAATGTTAAGACTAAAAATGTAGGAACATAAAATCTAAGAATTAAGAATTCTTCTCTAAAATGAATACATTTTCTTTGTCTGTTTCCTCGTTTCATGGGGGATCAATAACTTTTATTAGGGTCTGGGAATCATTGAATTATAGAGCTCTCTGCTTCCTTAAAGCACTCACAGGCAGGCTGGAGTTAGGTAATAAAATGCATCCTTTTAAGTATAGTGACCAAGAGGACCAAATAGGCTTGGGACACTGATCACAAAATATGGAATTTGAGATAAGACTTGAATCAGAGTAAGAAGCACATAAAATGTCAACCATTCTTGAAAACTGAGTACACACAAGAACTGACAGTGTTTAAAATGTTGCATTTAGTGTCTCAGTCTTTCAAGTCTCCTAAAATGTTACAACATATTCATATATTTATAGGTATACACACGCATCTCTATATAAATATATATATATATAATGTAATTAAGTGTTAAATTTTTACTTTCTGACTGACTTTGGGCCTTCCCTAAATGATTTTACTCTGCTAAGCTCCTAGCCTGACAAACAGCGCACCTGCTTAACTGGGCTAAGTGCCAAGAAAAGAAAAAAAATATCAGGGAAATTAATTTCCAAGAACGGTAGATAAATGGCACACCTCATTAGAAAATCTATTTAAAAGGCACATCAGGAGATGGCTGCAAGACTTTCATAAGAAATTGATGCTTCCTGCCATCATGTTCTTTCTGGCTCTCTTCTCAGATTACTAATTTTACTTACCAGTAATAAGATTTAAATTCAAGTTACATTTAACGAGTGTCTCCTATGTGCCAGGCACGTATGTTTTACATATATTATCTTATCTAATTCTCACAAAATTGGTTTGAAACAAGTATGTTTTGTAGAATGCTTGCAAAAATTGCCAAATGTGTTTTGAGACAGAGTGGTGAAACTATATAATGATTTTTTTTTTTCATATGGATGAAGATGCTAATAAACTATGATCCTTGTTCTTAGGCAAGAAAAGCTAAGAGTTACTACTGTTTATTTCTGTACGTTCTGACCTAGGGGAAAATCATTAACATCTACCTACTAAAGCCTTAGTTTGCATTCATTTAAGATTCTGTTTGTTTGCATTTTTTATCATTTAGAGAGAAAATTGTCCCTTCATAAATAAAGCAAAAGAAATTTGTAAGGAAGTTAGACCAAAGCCCACAAATTCTGGTCTTGAAAGAATTATAAATTATCAGGGCACCCTTCTATTTTCTGGAAGGGCTACTTGGCTGAATCTGCAAAAGTTCTGGGGCAAGACCTCCAGCAGCCCTTTTGACCTCTTAGCCTCAATTTACTAAGAAAGCAATGTTGCTCTGCCCCGCCTTGGGGTTTCTGAAAGCATTTGTCTTTCAGGAGAGAACTAAAGGCAACGTGGTGGATAACAGGGTGATCACACATCTTGGTTTGCGCCTCTTGTCCTAAGGTGAATATGAACTGCTCTCTATTTCATTCTCACAAGTATCCTGCTTTGGATGATAAATTCTACTAGTTGTCCTATACGGTGGCTTTGTACATTGTCAAATCACTAAGCTGGTACTACAGCTCCCAGAATTCCCTTATATGTATGTTTTCAGGTAACAGTTGGACACAAGAGAAATTTATGCTAACTTTGGAAGGCAAAAGGGAAGTAACGGTGAAGCCACTGTTTATTCTTTCAAGGTTGGTGTGGGGCAGGTGCTTTTGCAGCTCATGCACAGGATCGCAGGTATGCCGGTTACCCTTGTTACTGTGTGTAGATGGGTGGCAACAGCTGTACATCTCTCCAGCTCCCACTAGGCCGGCTCCTTCAACATCTCCAAATCCTGGCCAGGTGTATGTGCAGTTCATGGTGAAGGGCACCAACTGATCCTGTAGCTCACCCACATTATCGTAATTTGAAGTGGTAAGAGACAAATGAGGGTTCTAGTTTGTTCCTGTTAGTTCCAGTTTGCCGTTAGTCTCCCCTAGTCTCTGCATCTACCCTTCCCAATTTCCACCCTGCTGACCTTCAATTCAGTGTCAGATGCATTGCAACAGCCTTACGTAGATGGCTTAATCAGCTCCCAGGAATTCATAAGCCATGTTATAAATCCCCTATTTCATATCATGCAGAGTGATTTGGCTACTCTGATAAAACCCAGACAAATACACCATACTATTATTTGACTATTGTTTGGATGTTATATTAATATTTAGTAAGAAATGAAGGGCAGGTGAAATCTCTTTTCCTGTTTGTTTATCTGGTGCCCTCAAATTTGTCTTATTTGATAAGAAGCATCAAAGTCACAGATTTTGCAGCGTAGAAAGCAAGGTGCTATCCCCATTTCACAGACAAGGAAATATGTTCCTAGCCATGTTATCTTATAGGTTATAGAGCTGTGGAGTGAACCCAAATTTTATGAAAGAAGCACGTAAAAGCCAATTCTGCACGTGCCCCACAGTAGATAATATACTGGTAAATCAGATCAAATTCTGTAAATGAGGAATTGTGAAGGTTGCCCAGAGGAGAATCATTCTTCTCAATTCAGTACAGTATGTACTTATGAAGATAGATTTTCATTCCTCTATGAACAATTTTTTAATGGCTTCAAAGTATTTACCTACTTGTCTAAAGTTCCAGAGAGTAATTTAAGACCCAACAACAGCTGCACTGACTCTCTGGCCTTCAGAATCATTTCCAACATGCTTTCTTCTACCTCTGGCCTTGTTTTTTAAACAATAGCAATTACTTATTTCAAAGACTATTGTGTATCACAAAAAACTCATAGTGATAATAATATTAACCCCTAGCAAAAGATTGAATTGTATTAATTCAAATTTGATGTTAAAATTCGATGTTAAAATTAACATCAAAAATATAAGAGTATCATTTACATTTTGAAACTCTTATTGAAGTAATAATTTACTTAAATTTTAGAACCAAATATGATCATTAATTATAGTTCTTTCATTTTTAAAATAGGTATATTTTAAGAATTGAATGTACATCTAATATTTGTAGAGTTAATAATTTTATAAGTGTACTACAGAAATTACCACGAGAAAAAATTTGTTCTTTTTTTAAAATGCGCAGCTATCTATATTTAGGTTTTCAGATTATACAATTTAAAATCAAGGCACTCTTACAATCCACAGTATAGCTTCCACTGGACCAGTATAACTAAGTGCTATGGACAATGCCTGTGTCGCCGGCATTTCATCTGATAGGGAAATACTGCAGTCAATGTAGGCTCAAGGGAAATAAAATTTCCTGGAGTAATATAACCAAATGTTTTTCACGTAGAATTCTTAGTCATAATTTTATATTATAGGCATTTCAACTGTATTTTTTAAGAGCCTTCATTACACTGTATAATAAAATGATTGCCTATTTAGAGCAGACATTTATGGCTCTGAATGAATAGCCTTTTTGGTTCGGTTGACAGCATAGAACTTCTACCTGTTAGATGATGTCCCCTTTAGTCTAGCTACCAGTGATACAGCTGGCAGAGTCATCTCAACCTCACTCCCATGCCAACAAACCCAAATAACAGAGTTCTATGATTTCACCATATTTATATTGTATTTCTTTTGACTGTGGCATAGCCATTTCCTGACATATATAGTAAATACCAGATAAGTAATTGTTTTTTTTTTTTTTTTGAGACAGAGTCTCACTGT